GTGGACTGCGATCATATACAGAGTTAACTTCTCCTCCGCCGAGTCGATTCATATCCATTGTATTATAATTAAGACTTCCTGGCGCTGTTCCACTCTCACCTCTACTCCCGGAAGAGCGCCCGAGGCCTATGCCAGTACCTCCTATACCAGCTTGGCCAACTCCGATTCCTCTGCCCTCTCGACCAGCGAGTCCAAGGCCAAGGGCAGTACGTCCATCACCGGCACTACTCATCCCTAGACCGGTTCCTCGATGCCCAGCTGTTCCCAATCCGATATTGGCAGATCTTATACCGGGGACTCTTCGTAGGTTTAATCCAGGTATTCGCAGTGCAGGACTGTTCGCACCTACAAAATTGAGATTGCAACTCAAAGTGGGCTAGATAATGCTACTTGAACATTGTTTTGGTAGTGTCGGATTAATAACGAAAACCCTACGATTCAGGACCTTGAAAGTTCCATATTGGTCAAACCAGAAAGAAACGGTGATGTTGGAGTGTTGTGTGGTTAAAGCATCATGCTGAAGGCCCACGTTCATTTTCCCATATGGGTACAATGTGAAGCTCATGCCTAGTATCTCGACGATATATGGCTAAAACCATATTGACCATACTAACTAAACATCGAGTTCCATAACACCTGCTTTCAGTCACTAGGACTATTTTAGCCCTGCTCTTTCTGCATCTACGGTACCAGTGAAGATCCGGGTTGGATTGGTCCTTAGTGAGGTGAGGTGAGGTGAAATGGGGTTTAACGTCGTACTTGAGAATATTTCGCTCATATGACGACGTGCATGCGTGTGTATGTGTATGTGCGGCTGCTTGTACTAGCCCAGACTGAAGCTGGTTTTATAGTGCTAGCCCACTGAGATACCATGCCGCAGTGAAGCATGAATACCCCACTCAGACACATTATACTGACTCCGAGCCGACCAGTCCTTGCTGTACCCATAAATGTCGAGCGCCAGGCAGGGACCAACAAGTACCACATTTTAACGTCTTTTGGTATGACGCGGTCGGGGATCGAACCTGCGACCTTCCGCTCTCCATTGGTCCTTAGTAACCCATACTTGTCGTAAAAGGCGACTAACGGGATCGGGTGGTGAGACATATGTAATCGTACGATGATGCTAATGCTGTTAATCACTGGATTGTCTGGTCCATACTCCATTACTTATAGACCACAGCCATATAGCTGGAATATTGTTGAGTTCGACGTTTAACAACAAACCAACCAACCAACTGTATCTACGGTAAGTGGGCTGTGTGTAAAAATTAACAATACGTTGCCAAGTGGGTATTCAAGACAAAGAAATGTGTCACGGGTTGTTTATGTCTTACGCGTATAAATTGATTGCTGATATCGAGGCAGATCCCACTGGGGCTCGTACAGTTGACCTTGACCGTACTGGATCATTAACCCCGCAAGATGGATGAGAATGGGAATGGCTGTGTTGGAAACCATATTGTCTGAAACAGAAACAACACATATAGTCTATTTGCAGAGAAAAACGTACCGATGAATTTCAATTTAAACAAAAAAGTAAATCGAATAAAGTGAAATTAAGACTGCGAATCTTCATAATTTTACCTTGCCAATTGAACATTTAAGTCTCAGAATTTTATTCAGCTTAGGGTAAAAGTTGTTTAACAAACGATCATAGTTTTACATCGCTATCATTAGTTATTATTACAAGGGGGTATGCACATCAAATGAAACACCGAGAACAAGCAGGGATGGTCTAAGTTAACGCTCATCACGTATCGCACGTGCATTTGTTTCAACTACTGCGCTTACCCCATTGAAATACAAACCAATAATAGCGATCTGAAACTATGATCGTTTGTTAAACAACTTTTATCCTAAGTTGAATAAAATTCTGAGATTTAGAGGTAAAATTATGAGGATTCGCAATCTTAATTTCACTTTATTTGATTTACTTTTTTGTTTAAAGTGAAATTCATCTGTACGTTTTCACTGACACTATAACTTTTACAATTTTTGTTTCGTTTCTTGTTTTACGCCGCACTCAGCATATTCCAGATATATGACGGCGGTCTGTAAATAATCGAGTCTGGACCAGACAATCCAGTGATCAACATCATGAGCATCGACCTTCGCACTATAAATTCGTATTTGATATTTATTGTGAATCACCGTAATCAAACTCGTACGATATATCCTTCTACTTTTGCGGGGATTTTTTTGCTGAGTATATTTTATCATCAATGATTCAATATTATCAGTTATACGTTGTAACACTTGCATCACTGGAAGGTCAATCAATAATTCAAAATCAACTCCCATAATTTAAACATTGAACCATTCTGGAATATGCATTTCCATTTTCATTTGGAATCACTTAAGGTTTTAGAAACTCAGCGAACACATGTGTTTCTGTTTGTATTTTAATAATCACATTTTTAACATACTGTAGAAAGGAAAAATTACAGCTTTAGGATATTTACTGTGTATTTCAATTGGCAGATGGAACTACATACACTGATACAAGTGACATCACACTGCATGTGAGTTTGTTCAAAAATGCCACTGTGCGGCCAGCAGAAAATGGGTACCCGGTGAGATATGTCATGTCCTATTAACATCTAGGCAGCTTGGGTTATCCGGGGTAATAATAATCAGCACCGGCGAGCAACTAGACATATGGATGCTAGGCACTATAAAACTGATTTATTATTATTATTATTTAATAAATGCTATTTGCCTATTTCGGTTAATTTGAACATGTGATAGCATGTTTCTGTTGTTCTTGCAGGTACATGTATTTACAATTCAGAACAGCCAGGTGTGGTGGTTGGACCAGTAGTTTGCAGGTAAGAAAGGGAAAAAATGACGCAACAATACATACAGATTATCAGGAATTAATATTGTAGAAAACAGATTTTTTGTACACGAATGCCACGAAAAATGTACATAAATTATTCCATACGTACTAGTACTCAGAAATTGGAAGAATGTATTCAAGACTATTTCAACCTTATTATTCAAAAATATTAACAATTTATTCCCTCTTTAAAGCAATTTCTGTAGAGAACAGTATACATACTGTAACACTAAAACATTTCAGTGAGTGAATGAGTGAGTGAGTATGGCTTTACGCCGCTTTTATCAATATTCCAGCGGGGTACACCAGAAATAGGCTTAATACATTGTACCCATGTGGGGAATTGAACCCGGGTCTTCGGCCTGACGAGCGAACGCTTGAACCACTAGGCTACTCCAAAGCCCCCCTAAAACATTTCAAAGAGCACTAGCAAGCTTCAGATGTACCACACATCCGTATCGAGACGGGAAGATATATGGGATATTTATCGAACACAAAATGTGCTAATATTATTTAAACACTGAATAACACCTGTTACTAAATTGTCCGTTGAGTGCTGAATTCACAAAACCCAAAACTCTCACATCTATTACCATAGTACACAAAGTTAATTTGGATAAATTCAAATAAAACAATGTTTACTAATTAAAGCAAATAAATAAATGATGACAATGTTCATATTAAATACTGTGAAGCTAAGAAATCCAAAAAATGTTTCGTAATAATTTCAAATATATTACACCCAAATTACTGTAATACAACTGTATACTATACGCCTATGGACACTCAGTATTATGAATAATCACTATTAACTGATTGCCATTTGGGGAAACATAAACCGGAGTAAACAAATGTAAACAAATATGATAAAACACATATTAACTCTAGGGGTGGGTATTGCAGAGAATTTCCATATTGCAATACATGTATATTGCGATGCGAAAGTATATATTGCGATATGTATTGCAATATATTGCAAGCATTATTTTTGTCAAAAAAACTACTTATAATCGAGTTCATGCTTGATTTATATAGCAAAAACACAACAAATCACTATGCTTGAAAAGCCGAAATAAAAACTTTTAATCATGACAAAATAAATAATATTTGGCACAAATGAAACAAGGAAGAGAACAATCAACACAGTGGTTACTAGTTTGAACTAGTTTTTCCACTCTCCAAAAACGCCCTGAGATTTTAGACAGCACCTTGACCTGGTCAGGACATGTCAGAGATCACAGGTCATTAATGAGTAAATATTTAAAACATTCAGATCCAGAACATTGGGAACAAACTTAAGAACACAACTTCAAACCGAAGATGGCTTCGGTGTGAAAAACGGAAATATCCGAAGACTTGAGTGTTACAAGTTTCCTGAATTTGTTGTCATAAGCGTATCGCAATATTTCATGTTAAAAACGGTAAATACCGGTAAACTGGTTTTATTGCGCAGCCCTAATTAATTCTGACTATTACTGTCATCGACGGAGGAAAAGATGTCACGGTTTTGAGGGTCAAATCTGTTTGGCGTCAAAACAATTTAATGGTAATACTGATTCCTCTGATCTCTATTTTCAGAATTTATGGTTCTAGTTTTATACGACAATAAGTAATATTCCGGATATACAGACAGGGCAATCCTGTTTTATGTCATTAAGAGCAACGACCCGCGCCGTGGGAGATTGATGGCGCGCCACAAACACAGACCTGATCAGTTAGGTCGTTCTTATGTGAAGTGAGTGAGTGAGGTTTAATTTTAGCAATATTCCAACAATATTACGGCGGGAGACACCAGAAATGGGCGTCACACATTGTACCCATGTGGGGAATCGAACCCGGGTCTTCGGCGTGACGAGCGAGCGCTTTAACCATTAGGCTACCCCACCACCCCTCTTGTGTAAAGCATAGGTTGCTAGCGATTGATGTGAACTGGATGGAGTGAGTGAGTGAGTGAGTGAGCCAGTTTTACAGCTATATGGCAATGTAAATCATCAAATCTGGATCAGACAATCCAGTGATCAACAGCATGAGCAGCGATCTAGGATGATAGGATGACATATGTCAACCAAGTCAGCGAGCCTGACCACCCGATCCCGTTAGTCGCCTCTTACGACAAGCATGGGTTACTGAAGATCAGTTCTTACCCGGATCTGCACAGGTCAATGAGAACTGGATTCCTCACGGGATCGAACTGCAGTCAAGAAGCAGAACTTGATATTACACTGATTTTTACATTTATCTGAAACATATTTAAAATATAAAATACAAGGCTAAACGATGCAATATCAAATTTTGTTTGATTATTGTTCAACGCACTCAGCGTTGCACTCAGGGAATTTCAAGTAATATACTCATGCTTATAATGGTTTTCACCCCGCACTCGGCACACCCCACACCCCTCTCAATTAAAAAAATTGAAGGGGTGACAACCATATTGGCATGAGTATATTATGCTAAAATGAACTAAAATGAACTAAAATTATTAAACTTATAGTAAATATTAGGGTCTGGGCCAGACAATCCAGTGATTGAACTCGGACCTCCACGGGTCTGTAGTAATAGGGCTTATATTCACACAGCCTGAATAAACAAGATGCGTCTTTAATGCATAAGGTACGTAGGGCGCAGCGAAGAAAGAGCAGCTACTCTCAGCACTACTTTGCACCACCATTCTATACTGTCATTATGCTAACATATTTAACATAAACTGAAGGACAAAAGAAAGTATACGCCCTTGTTTGATAGAGGCTGAAACGAAATTATACAAGTGAGTTTAGTTTTACGCCGCACTCACCAATATTCCAGCTATATGGCGGGGGAGGAATGATACAAAGAATTCCCGTTTATTTATGATGTATTAGACAAGCGTATTATTTTTCAGTCGTCAAGTTTGCAACCTTGTTCCGGCCAACGACGTTTCGACAACGTTTGTAAATTTTTGGTCAAATGCATTACTTTCTGTTACCCAGCAACTTAGTCCCAGAGTGGGAAATCGATCTATCCTCGTAGCGAACGAACTTTTCAATCACACTAAAATATTCGTTTCAAATATCGAATGTTATGCTTCTATTAAACATACGTTGTATGATCAATTTTAAGTGTATACATACCAGATAAGTCTTTGGATGAGGCTACTGAAGGTGGCGGGTCCTACTCAGAATTCCTCCTCTTCTCAAAGAGTGACAGTCTCAACGATTGGTGTTTTCATTATCTCGGATGAACCAGCTCGGCAAATGGCGTGCCCCTTGTTTATGATTATATACATTTGACAGAAGCTCAATCAATCACGACGGTAGGCCCGAGGGTGACGTTGGAAGGCCTCCGTTAGATGAGATCGTGTAGAAGGGTGAGTTTAACGATAGAACGTTGTCCCTGGTGCATTATAGCAGATGAATTTAATAGGGATGACTATCACAGTGTATGATCTCATACAGTGCAAACCGGATATAGTGCGCTGTACGTTCGGGCTTTGGTTGATAGAAATGTTGTCACGGGCTCCTTTTTTTCTGGTTTTGATTACTGTGAGTATAGTTCAAGTACTAAAATAAGCAAAATACTTCTTCTTACTCTTATAAACTATAATCATTTCTAAGTAATTGAAGTTCATAATTTAATATTTTCCTTCGTTTTCTTAAGGTACTGCTGAATTCAATACATACCGACAACACTTCTGTTTGCTATTTTTGTGATTTTCGGACACATTCTTTCAACATTATCAAATTATTGACCACTGTATTATCAGTCACCCATCCAGTGAATTAAAATGCAAATTCGAATATCATGACGACACAACCCTTATCTAGAAACAAAACAATTCCAAATCATATCAGAAGTATTAAAATCTGTAGGAAAGTGCATTGTACCTTGTAATGACAACAAAACAGAAATCACCAAGCATTCAAACAATGAAGTATTAAGTACCCTTAAGAAAAAGTCTAAATGTGATATGAAGGAGGATATGTTTGGCCAGAGGCAAGCCTTGTCAATGAATGATTTAAAGGTCACATGCAACCAAAAAATCAAACATAATTAAAACACAATTATCACTTATTCATGACATATAATATATATTGCTGGTTATGAGAAAACATATAAACAAAATTATAAGCGTACAATCGCAAATCAAAAGTGCAATATTGTGTACTTGGGTTTACTTCCCAAGAAACGAAGCAGCCGGGATACCGAACCCAGTCAGAGCGGGTGAGTGTGCACTCAAGTGTAACGGCTGGTTCATTTGCAGATGCCTTCACGGCTCATTGTGTGTGTATGTATAGAGATGTTGGGTTTTGTAAATATATGCTCATTTTTTTGTGTATAACATTTTGCAATCAACAGACATCATAACATGTCATGTGTACAAGTATCACACCTGCCTGTCTGTGTAATTACATAATGTGACAGAGACCGAACTCGGACCATAAATCAATGCATTTTGTTTATGGTTTATGCCCGAACTGTCGACAACAAGAAATAATCCGTCCAAATTACTTGTCGGCAGTCCGGGAAAAGGGAGGTGATGTTCTACATGAGTGACTTCACTCCCAGTGTTCTCGAAATTAACAAACCAATTAAAACAGAGTGTGATATATATAGTAGACAATATATTTATTCAGTCAATATAACAACATGCATGTATCATGCATGTATCATATGTCACACAATATAACATATTTGTATATATATTTCATAAAGCTCACACAATATATTTGTGTGTGTGTTTTATATTAATAAGTGATTTCTGCAGGTGTATAAGTAATAAATATATAAAAGATGAGTCCAGTTATTTCTTCTTGCCAAAACTCCTTTCTATCTGCACTAAAGTAATCTGAATGTTCAGCCAAGATGAAGCAACTCTGACACATGGTCTGTGTAATGCAAGTCAGTAAGTCTGTCGGCAAGAAGGTCGGCCTTCAAGGATCGAATCCTAGCGTCGATGATTCGGTAGCGACGTCTACGGAAGGGATCTCTCTCTGCTGTCCTTGGATCTGCTGAATTTTTACTTCAGTAGATGACTGTTCTTTTTGTACCATTCGCACAACCTCAAATACATTCGGATGTGTCTTCATGGCATACTTGTTGATTTTGTTGTGCCAACCTTCCAAATTATTGTTAGTTCTGTGTCCATCATTTTCAAAATGATTCCAAGTTGGCAGTGTCCATGGACCTTCTACCCAGGTGGTAGTAACGTAATCCATCAGCTGTGTCGCCTTTTCACCTAGTGGTGCGTTGCATCTGTACATCTTCAGTATGTTTTCTGAGCTCTGCGTCTGTTGACTCTGTACTTGGATCCATTGTGGTAAAGATTCTGACCTCTATGAATGTTGTCAATCAATGTAACCCGCACTATAGCATTTGCCATTCTGACAGTGGTAACCAAATATTCATGATCTATAATATATACCCAAATGCTATATGTTTACAACAGCAACTCCCAATATCACAAAATAATTTGTAAGCTCTCTGTTTCTTACCGGGTGTTGTTGCATGTTAAACTCCAAAATAGTAATCCTTCCACTCGCATAACGTAAAATAATAGTCTGTTTTTGCAACCTTAATTCTCTTGCAAATTGTTAAAAAGACATTCTCTTTAATCAACTTAATTCATTTACTCATGATACGAGCATAGCTGTAGCCGCCATAGCCACTTGCAAACCACTAAGCAAACATTCTCTTTCACAAATTAACACTGTCACGGTATGTTGACCACGCGATGTCGACACTCCGGGTTTTTTGTTTTGTCGACGGTTAGCAACATCCTATTTTTCATTTGTCGACAGATCGGGCTGACACCTTTGTTTATGGTGTATAGCCTGATTGGTGTTAAGTTCAAATTGCATGTGGTCAGTGATCCCAGTTGTGTATTGAATATGGTCATTAGCAGACAGGCAGGCAGACACAAAGGTGTCAATAAAACAAAGACATTGAGTTTTGTCTGTGACAACGACATATCTATATCACAGTTAGAAATTCTGTCAACGCTAAATAATGACATTGCTTGTAAGTATCGAACTGAGAAAGTGACTCGGTAAGAAGAACGTTTGGTGAAATAGACAAATGAAATTATATAAACAGTTAATCTACTGTCATAACATATAAAAAGCTCGCGCCTGTGAAATATCAACAAAACATTAGAAAAATAGCTCACACCAAAGCCTTCACCGAGAATTCACCGGACAACACGCTTCCAAGCTGCGCGAACCTATTTCACTGCGCACGTGCTATGAGCGCAGCCCAGCTGTTGAAACCACTTGAATTCCCCCAAGCGCTTGGGGAAAATTAGTGAATCCGATTTCGCGCGGTTTTTGTCATGGCGTTATTTTTCAACTTTATAAGTTGAATTTGCATTCTTGATGATTTGTTTCGGTAAGTCCATACCGAAAGGTATCAGAATCTGCAAAGTTGTGTTTTAAGTTGCATGTTACCTTTAACAGAGAAACTAGATTGGAATACAGAAACATTTTCATCGCATGCAGATGGCACTCAGATCTCACCGACAATTGTTATTCCTGCATGTGAAAGTTTTGATCGAGGTTCTATGAAAGGAATGATAGAATGGCTCCAGCTTGTCTAACTACCTTATAGGAAGTCGGGAATGATGATATGTTTCTTAACTTCAAACGATTGGTTGCTTCTAATTCATTTCCCTTGGATAGTACTGCGTTCATGCTGTTTCCTATTCACTCGATAACACTGTACTGATGAGTGAGCGAGTGATTATATGATTTTACTCCGCCTTTAGCAATATATCAGCAATATCACAGCGGGGGACACCTGAAATGGGCTTCACACCCGTACTGATGAGATGCAGCGAGGTTCCAAAATGTTTTTGGAGGATTGGGCTAAATTTGTTCAAAGGGAAAAATTTTAAATTCATGTCAGGCACAGTGACAGAGGGAAAAGTCCCTAGAGGTGTGCATGTTCCAAATGATTCCAAAATAAACTTCGTAGTTCCTGATAGGACTGTTCTGGGCAAAATGAAAGGTCCTCTAAAAGACAACCAACTTGTACCTGCTTGCGTTATGCAAATGCTGGACATGAATGCTAAAACTGACCCAGAACAAGTTAACATTTACAAAATGTGTATTAATATAATCAAACTCAATGCCTGTACGGGTGGAAAGTTAAGGGATGTTGATTTATGGGGGTTTGAGGAACATCTGACTCTCGTCGGAAACTATCACACGAAACTGGTATTTTGGAAAGTTGTGAAGAATTTGTTAATTGATTAGAAATTCGGTGGTTTAAAACAGGTTACCGAATGTTCAGACGAACAAAAGAGTAGTTCTAGTCGTTGATTAATGGTGTCATTAGGATTTGCAGTGGTCACGTGAGAACTCAAAGTTGGAAAACCTCTTGCACTTGACAAATTTCTGAAAGCTGTAAATGGTGATTGGAGACAGACCAAATATGCTTTCGTAATCAGTTCTCTCATGTACCAGATAAGCTGTGCCATCGAAAACCTCCTACACGGCATAGATAAACTCAGGCTTCTTGTTTCAAAATGAAACACATCACACTTTATATTGCAAAATTTATATTGTTTTCGTTATGAATAATGACGAAAACAAACACATTTGTATCACATCATAATGACAAGTGTATGCAAGAACTATAAACTCGGTCAATATATCATTGATTATATAAACCTATAGTTACAATGTAATAACGATGTTCACCAAAGTTAGAATTATCCAATATTGCGTTTGTTGACATGTGTCTGAGACAACAATCTATGAAGAGATGACTAAGATTCTGTAAAATTGCAGTAAATACATTCTTCGAATTTATAAGCAATCTCATGTATTCCTTCACGGTTCGCGATAACATACTTCGAAGATATACTAGAACTATATATACATACGTTGAATGTGTCCAAAATGACAATAAAGCCCACCTTTAAATAAGCTCTCAGTCAGGACGTTTTTCAGATACGCGCTATATTCCGCACAGAGAAACAAACGGTTTCGGCTATAATCCAGTACAGTGATACTGCATTGTTGCGAGTGATCTCATAGATAACGTCATAACTAAACAACTTTGGAATATGAAAATTCACACAAACATTGTACAATCCATTACGAATATAATACTGGTAGCTCTGTAGGCTAACATGATGGTATATGTGAGTAAAAGCGAAAGTGCACGAGCTGGTCGAATTTGGCTCGATGCGCAAGAGGTGAAAACAATTGTGTTTTCATTAACATACAGATATCTCGCTAATAATTAATGTAAATGTTATATCCAAGTTATCTAATGTTGTAAAGCAGCCTATCTGCATGTGAAATTATACTTTACTTTGCCTTTAAATCAACTTTTTTTTGATCGAGCATACCTGTTCAGACGACATTTCTATCAACCAAAGCACGAACGTACGGCGCACTATATCCGGTTTGCACTGTATGAGATCATACCCTGTGACTATTGAGGGGGCAACATACTATTGCGATAGCGATAGTCCGTTACAACATACTCTTGCAATAGCGAATAGTCTATTGCGACCAACTATTGCAATAGTTTTTTGCAATAGTTTTTTTCTCCTTTGTCGCATTTGAAGTCATTTCCCAAATGAATGTATAGTTTATATGAAATAAAAACAAGTTGAAGTAGTTTCAGTCTCTTTTAATAACTGACAAGAAACTTGAAACCAAGATCAAGTAAACAGGTAAAACATTAACTCAATAAAGCTGCAAGTCTGCACCCAAACATCCTGTATTTTGCGCAGCGCATTTTCAACGGAAGTCAATTACTAAACAATCGATAGTCACATATGCATCCGATTCGGTACTTTTTCGTTTCTACCATCGATCAATTGCTATCGGAGACTCAACAATTGCAATCCATCAATAGTTCGATGCATCGTTACAGCCCTAGAGTTAAATGAATTATCCATTTACCTTTGAATGGAACAACATTCTTTGAGAGGCATTTTAGAAGTTGTAAAGATGAAGGAAAACCAAGTTCTATGGATAGTCCACATCCACTTCATGAACCAACATTGCTGGTCATGAAGTACACGAACCTCTAGTATAATATTTGTTGGTTTGTTGTTTAACACCACACGCAGCAATATTCCAGCTGTAAATGATCGAGTCTGAATCAGTGATCAACAGCATGAGCATCGCTCTACGCAACTGGGTTACGATGACTTCTGCCAACTAAGTCAGCGAGACTGGCAACCCGATCCCGTTAGTCGCCTCTTACGACAAGCATGGGTTACTGAAGATAAAATTTAACCCGGATCTTCACGGGTGGAAATAAGGTGAAATGATATGGGGCCAAATATGTATTCACTTTTCTCGTCACTATTTTGTCATCATTATTTTCATGATAAACACATACTCGTGATGTAGTTACAGTTTCAAAGCTTTTAGCAGATATTCCTTATGGCCGTGGGAAAGATGTTGTCGATTTTATGAGTATAACGTATGATGATATATTATATTATATAAATCACTCAGTGCATAACTACTACGACAAGCATGGGTTGTTGAATGTCAGTTGTTCTATCCGGATCTGCACGGGGCTCTGATATAATAACGCATACGAGATAATAAAATGTTTTAACGGATCCAACTTGGAACTGATAATTCGATACGGTAGGATCCAGAATATGTGTGGTATATCCTCCGGCGTAACCGTTTCCTAATATGGGAAGTAGGGCTGCACGGTATTACCGGTAAACCGCAATACGACATTGTAACAATTACGTATCGCGATACATTTATGATGTAGCGGTATACCGACAAAGATTTCTTTGTTCAATTTTAATCCATTCAACACCGCAGGTAAGACTACCGCCCGTATACCCCCTAAATTTGAATGGTGAGGAAAAAGATGTATGTGGATATTCAGGTAATATGGGTGGTGGTGGTGGGTGGGGATTGGGCGGATGTCTTTCCAAATGATTGGCAACGGGTCCACTTGCAGATTGTCAAAGAACAAGTATCGATGTTTCAAGGAAATAATTAAATTTGAATAAATTAATGAATAAAATCTACATTTTTCCTAAAAGTTGTCAAACGTACATCTAAGTTACTATTTCCATATTTTCGTGCGATCATGTTATGTAAGTCAAGTGACATCTCGGCTTTCGTCGCCTCGATCTTCATTCTCCGACACGAATTCGAAGTTTAATGTGAAACAAACTGCATAAAGAATATTAGTCACAGGTCGCCAGCTACCACGATACGTCCAATACGTTCCACAATTTACATACTTGTGGCGATTGCCTGCTTAACACGCTCAGAATAGCATTATTGCGCCCAAAACATTTGTCTAAAAGTTTATGAGGACGGTATCCATTGCTGTAATATGATTGGCTGCCTTTGGCTACGTACATGATTTTTACCAATCACGATACTTATAGCAGACTGTGGTGAAAAAGCGTCATTAGAAACCAATCTTTATCCAATAGAATCGCTTCTTACAACTGCGAAAATACTCCTGACAGGGTTACTGTGATATTATTGATGATTAGAGCTTTCGAACGATACCCGCCATCAAATGAATCTTCTCGAGTGTTATTCATACGGAGCTTCGAAAACGGAGGCATTTCCCAATGTTGTGTTATGTTACCGAGCGACAAGCCACGGCTACCAGGAAATAGGCGACCATATTTATTATTTAATTAATCTTTTTATAATAATTTTCTGATTACGTAAAAATGAAAATATAAATGAAATAGGTAAGAGGATATTATGCCATTTTCGCCTCCTTCGTGATTTATCTGGACATTATAAGTGTGTAAACTTGTATTTTTATTAGAAATAATCTTTTTAAGTTGACGTTATATAATTTGAATAATATGTTAAAATAACTTTGGTATTTATCAACAGTTGGGTTAGACCTAAAAAAATTAAATGGTGTGTGACATGTAGTAGCAATAATGTTTCACGAGCTGATATTTTCCTTGACAAACGTAGGCTTCTATCTTATCATAAGGCTATGTTTCTCATGTTTCACTTTTTTTCCATTATTCTATTCAGTCTAAATTTACCTAATACAGAGAGACTTTTGCCCATCTTGAGTGCTTTGTTAACTCATTTCTTTATGAGAAAGTGTACCAAACGTCATTCATGAAATATGTAATGTTAATAATGCTTTTATTCAAAGACATAGGTGCATAAATCATTGTTTTGATTAGAATGTGCACTTCAAGATGTCATGTCACATGATTGTGACTTCAATTCAATTTTTCTTGAGTAATACAGATGTGCACAGTAGCTCAGACTTTTTAAATTATTTGAAATTCAACATCCTTTGCAGTTTAAAGAAGTTAAAGTATATAAATAGTATGGGTGAGTTGATGGAGGACATGATGTAAGCTAGTTTCAGTTGAATTTGTCATATATATGAAATGAGAAATCATACATATATCTGTGTTAACTTTCCTTTGGACAGCAGTTACCATTAAAAGAAAGACTTGTTGAAAGTTTTGTATAATAAAGTGTACGGCTAGTAATATTTGGAAAGGACTAATGAAATGCAAAATCCACTAGCCCGGAGGACTAGTTAAACTGTTTAGTGAGTGTCGATCCCTGCTGTTTTAAAATAAACATATAAACAGAAGAATGTTCTGGTTTTTCCTTTTTCTTGCTTTGAAAGAAACTAGACAATGTACAATGGTTACTCGCAGCTACTGTGATTCAATTTGAAGGTAAAAGAATATTACAAAGTGGACAGATCTGAATAGCTGTTTTTTTCACAATATATCGCAATACGTATCGCAATACAGAAGAGTGTATCGCAATATATCGCAATACGAAAGTTGGGGCAATACACAGCCCAAATGGGAAGGGTATAGATTTGTGTATTAAGGAGTAGTACATGCTTTCGAAAAGGATGATGAAAAGAACGTTCAGTGTTGGACTCGTGGTCTTAATGCTCACTTCACAGAGAAAAAAGATTGCATGTAGTGTCATGCACGCACAGAACCTTTGTTCTTTCCTAGTCAAAAACAGTGATCGATACGAACAACCCTTTGATCTCAATACTCTTTCGATGAACGTATCGGAAAGAGAACTTTCTTCCTCATGCACAATAACCCTCATGCACAGCCAATCCTCATTATATTCGGCTCTATGGACAAACATGGAGTACAGGTGACATATGCCAACGTGTATTGGTCAGTGAGAAACGTACAGTAATGAGTGAGTGAGTGGGTGTGGTATTACGCAGCTTTTAGCAATATTCCAGCAATATTACAACGGGGGGCACCAGAAATGGGCTTCACACTTAGTACCCATGTGGGGAATCGAACCCGGGTCTTTGGCGTGACGAGCTAACGCTCTAACCACTAGGCTACCCCACCGCCCCAAAAATGCCATGGAACTACTTTCTGTCGCAAGTCAATTTATAACATCACATATGAAATAAACGCGACAAAACCCTTTCTACATCCATTCGAAATTACGATTATATCATGAGTATGTGTGTGAAAATAAATATCAAATAGGAATAATAGCAGGTGTTCGCGAAAGGGTGAGCTTATCCTGTCACGTCGGTGATGTCCGTCATAAACTCATGCAAAGGCTAGGCAATAGGTCACCTGGAAAAAGACATACGTGATATGGAACAGCATCGCACATCATTGACTTAATGTTCAAGGCTTCAGCAAAGCTGTTTAAAAGTTTCATGTTTGACGTGTAAAGGGCATTTCCAAATTTGACGCCTGAGTGACGAGATGAGGTTTCTTTTTTCTGTGTTTGTTTAAAGATCATGCTCCCATGTATTTTCATGTGAAGAATTGACTTGCCCTTGCGTATGTTTAGGACGGATGTTCCCTGTATAGCAGGTTATGTTTTCGCGATCGCTTGCCACCATCAGCATTTGTTGAATCACAGGGGCGGTGGGGTAGCCTAGTGGTTAAAGCGTTCGCTCGTCACGCTGAAGACCCGGGTTCGATTCCCCACATGGGTATGATGTTTGCAGCCCATTTCTGGTGTCCCCCGCCCCGATATTGCAGGAATTTTGCTAAAAGCGGCGTAAAACTTAACTGACTCACTGTTGAATCACTAGAGCCATCTCGCTCGTTTACTAGAACTTTCCAGTGAATATACAATCCATGTACATGGGTTTTGCCACTTCTAGTCTATATAGCGACCTGCATGGATGTGTGTGAATGTTTATACTTTACGAATTGTTACCAGTTTATTATTTTACCTCACGGAGATATCATGCTCATGTTATAAATAGATACTCCTTTCAGACACATTATTCTAACACCGAGCCGTCCTGTCTTTGATTGTGAAGAGAGCCAGGCCTAATAATCCTGGTTTGATAAGTGATGACATATCATTTGTAGTATGGAGCCTCGGGGCATGTTAGAGCTATCGTCATAAACATTATCATTAACCGCACTTGTACTTGTAGTATTACTGTCGATCAGTGATACTTTGTCAAATTGTACATGCGTCAATTGTTAAACGAAAGAAGATACTTCCCTTTTATTTTGTAATAATCCACATATGGACAAATTTACTTATGAAATCAGATTACACACTACTCTCATTTTAAATATCGCTATCTGCTAAACTACCCTTAGTCTTTTCTAAACCAATATTTCCACTTATATACAGTCAGCTCTCGTTAATCCGACACTTGTGGTTGCAGAGAAATATGTCGGATTACCGAGAATGTCGGATTAATGTATTTGTGTGAAAATATCAATGTTTACTTAATGTCATGATCGGCATACTGTTGCATGCATATCAGAAATTGGAGATCTGGTTATCGTCTTCGTATGTAAAAACATTCACAGTGATAAAACATATAACAATATATCCTTGATATCATTTATTAACATTCATAGATGGCATAACATACATATAAAATCACATAATCAATCAGTTTCGTATCGATTTCAAAATCACATTGGCACAAAACTCACGTTTGTTTTTACCAGTCGTCGCTATTTCACTCTCAGCAGCCATTATGACCCGGATGTTGAATGAGTCACTGTTTACATACAACTGTATTATTGTATTATACACTATATCATTTTGTATGATTCATGAGAATTAAATTCTGTTCCGTGCTATTCTGTCAAAATAAAAATTATTTACGATCTTTTATTGCAAAGTTTATATCTCTGTGTGTAATAAATTACATTTTTGTCACAGCATTTTTGTTTTCCGGTAGTTTTGTCAACTTTGATCGATTTTATACAAACGAATTCTGCGGAAGGCATGCGTTTTGCTTTAAGGAATAAATTTCTTTCATATGTAGTTATGCACTGAGTGATTCATATAATATTAATATATGATAAAACATTATAATCATAAAATCGACGTCTTTTTACACAGCCTTTTGGAATCTCTGCCAAAAACCTTTTGGAATCTCTGCTAAAAGCTTTGAAACTGTGACTACATCACGGTGAGGTGAGGTGATTGTCATGAAGGTAATTATGACAAAATAGTGATGAGAGAAGTGAATTAATAATTGGCCCCACATCATCTCACCTTATTTCCACCCGTGAAGATCTGGGTTAAAATTGATCTCCCTAACCCAAGCTTGTCGTAAGAGGCGACTAACGGGATCGGGTGGTCAGGCTCGCTGACTTGGTTGACACATGTCATCGTATCCCGATTGCGTAGATCGATGCTCATGCTGTTGATCACTGGATTGTCTGATCCAGACTCGATAATGTACAGACCGCCACCATATAGCTGGAATATTAGGGAAAGCGGCGTAAAATTAAACTCACTCACTCACCCTATTTCCCGAACGGCCAGCTAGTATGGACGATATTAACCGCAAGTCATGGGTAACTGAAGTGAGGAAATTAATTTATATTTATGGTTTCAGCTATGCGTGGGAGTTTCAAAATATTGTTAACACTGACTTATTTTTTAAACAGTTTTCTCAACTAGTTAAAGATTCTTACATCCAGTGTATATTTTCTATGTTAAATGAACATTTAGAGTTCTCATGTGTCAAAAGTACGTTTAATATGGAATCATACTTGTCAACGTAATATAACAAAGATTAAAGAAGATTTTTATCACTTTTAAGACTCTTTGAATTAGATTTTATGAAAAATACAGGTAGAAGAAATAATATCGCAAGAGAATTAAG